CTGGCCCCTTCTTTTTGGCTCAAGTTGTAGGGGGCTCCTGAGAGCCACCAGTAAAACAAAGAGATATTTTCCTGGCCTCCTGGCTACCCTCCCCCACTGCTCAGCCGAGGGAAGTTGTGCTTTATGTTGAGAAAGAAGGGGGAGCATGGGAAAGGGAACAGAAACCAGGGAGAAGCAGCGGGAACAGGTGCTAAGTGGGTAAGGAGAGCGGTGGTGGTGGGGGGATGGGCTGCCCTTGCTACCCAGCCCCCCAGCTCTGACTTGGCATCAGGAGAACGGAGGTTAGCTGTGGCTCCGCAACCGGCTTGCTGTGTGACCTTGGGCTAGTCACCTCCTCTCTCTGGGCCTCATTTCCTGCTGGTAACATCACCTCTCTCTGGGGCTTGGCATTCTTTTCTAAAATTTTTTTTTTTAATTTTTATTATTTTTTTAAAAGATTTTAAAAAAATATTTTATTTTATATAATTCTTACATCATTTTTCATCTTTGTACAATGTATGCATTTTCATTTTGGCTATATTCCCCATACATTTACACCCCCCCTTATTTTGACTCTAGTTCTTCCTCTCCCCACCCCTTGCTAATCCCCCCCCCCCCCGTAGTGTGTCTCTGGTTTATAGTTTCTTGTTGATTTTGATTATTACTTTGTATTGATTAGTCTTTTTCCTGGTCCCTTATTTAGGTTTTCCAAATTCCTGCTATGAGTGAGACCATATCCGGTATTTTTCTTTTTCTTTCTGGCTTATTTCGCTGAGCATGATCCCTTCCAGCGCCATCCATGTTGCTGCAAATTGCATGTGTTTATCTTTTTGATTGCTGAGTAATATTCCATGGTGTCTATGTACCACATCTTCTTGATCCAGTCATCTATTTTTGGGCATTGGGGTTGTTTCCATAGCTTAGCTATTGTAAATAGTGCTGCTATAAACATAGGCATGTAGGTGCCCTTTGGGAGATTTTTTTTTAAGAAGATTTATTTATTTATTTATTTATACAAGCACTGGATACAGTCAGAAGTGCTGGAGGGTGAGAGAATTCAGAACAGCAGAACAGAGCAGAACAGGCAGAGCGATGAAGTACACTGCTGAGGGGAGCAGCGGGCGGCAGGAGAGGTCTGCGCGCCATGTGGGACCCTCGCTGGTGGCCGGGGATCGAACCGGCGCTGCAGAGGCTGAGGGCAGCTTCGCAGCCCAGCGCTCAACCACTGCGCCACTGGGGAGGCCCAACTTGGCATTCTTGTCCCCTGAGTTTCCCTGGATCTGTGCAGCCAGCCTCTGTGCCTTCACACATGACAGGAAGAATATTCCTCTTCCTGGAATACTTTTCTCTCTTGTGGATTGAACAACTCCTGCTTATCCTTCAAAGGTAGGCTCAAATTTTCCCTAATGGTGAAACCCTCTCTGAGTCTTCCAAACAGTGGTGATCGTGGCTTACCCACAGGGTCTGGAGGTGCTAGGTGCTCGGAGAGCATTCTGGATAAAGCAAGGGAGCCAATGGAAGTTGCATGGATGATGGGGCACTGCTCATCTGTGTAGCATATGGCGTGTGCCCGGCTCTGTGCCCGCACGCCACCTGATTCACAGCAACCTTGCAAGGTAGCTCCGGTTGTCACCCATTTCCAGAGGAGGAGACTGAGGCCCAGAGAGGGTAGTGGCTGGCTCCAGAGCACAGGCTTCGGTTGGGCCCAGGGTATCTGACTCCAGCACCCCAACTCTTACCTGCAGGATCTCAGCAGCGTGGAATTAGAGAGAGTGAAGGAGAAGATGCAGTGCTGTTGGGAGCTGGCTGCCTGGACTCTAGGGGAGGAGGGAAGTCTTGCTCCTGTCCCAGTGCAGTCAGGGCCTCAGAGCTCAGGGAGGGAATGGGGCTTTGTCCAGGTGGAAACCAGGGGCCAGGAAGGCAAGGCGAGGGTCAGGAGGCCTAGAATTCTGGGCTCTCCTGGAATATGCTGGAGGTGATCTGAGTACTTTCCAGGAGCTGCAAGCAGCTCTTGGCTGGGGACTTGGGGGGAGCAGAAGGGTCTCTGATAAGCAGGGCACTGAAGTAAGGTGGGAGATCCAGGCATCCTGGGTGTGACATGCCACCGTTTGTAAGAGGTCAATCATTGCAATGGCTCTGGGTGCAAATGGGTGTGACTTTTTTCACTGACTGGAGCGGGGAAACAGGCCAGGGAGGAGCCGCAACCTGGCCAGGGTCACACAGAAGTGAGGAGGTGGGGGAGGCTCCCCATGCCCCAGCTGTTGGCTCTTGAACTCTGAGTGATCAGGGCTGGTGAGTGGGGGCTAGAGGGTTGGGGAGAACAAGGGCTGGGCCCCAGAACATCCTCCTTGAGTGGAGGCCTGTGCCCTGGACACAAGGGCAGCAGGACTCAAATCCCAGCCATCGAGAGGTGTGGGCGATGCCCTAGGGTGTCCAGGTGTCCCTCCTCTGCCCGGGCCACCAGCCATTCTGGAGGGGCAGTTGGGAAGTGGTGATTGGAACACTAATGGTGGGATTGGGGTGTGGTGGTGGGCCCTGAGAGAAGTTGGGGGTGTGATCTTCAAAGTGGGGTGGTGTCCAAGGTGGCTACTGGCGCCACAGGATGACAGTATTAGAATTTCTAAAATATTCAACCATATTCTTTATTAATCTCTGGACTTGGATGTGTGTGTTACGGTGTTCATGTCAAACCAGGACAGTAGCAGATGCAGAACACTCAGCAATAAAGAAATACAGAGCAGTGTGTTCAAAAGGTTTTTGCTGACATAGGTGTGAGATTAGAACATCTGAGCTTTCTAGGCCAAGGCTAGCAGGGGCCCTGGGGTGTTTTGGAGGGTGTCTCCACTCTGTCCCGAACTTGCTGTGTATCACTGGGTAAGTTGCTTAGCTTCTCTGAGTTTATAAAACAAGCAGAGGGAGTTTATATAATATGTGCACAGAGGTTTTCCCCAGTAATTGCAAGTTGGGGTCTCAGACAATCTTGGATTCTTGGGCTTCGAAAGTCTTCCTGTGGCACACCTGGTAGATACTCATCTGGGCTGTTTGCACACCCCCAGGATAGGGGCTCTCACTTCCTTACAGGGTGCCCTGTTCCATCCCAGACTGAACTGTCATCTGCCTCCCTTTCTCTTTCTCTCATTAAAGGTGGAGCTGAGAGGGAGGGGCTGAGGGTCTAGACTTTAGGGGCCAAGGAAGCAGCTTCTCTTTGCAGGGCTGTTTCCTGTGGGTGTCAGCCACAGCCCCACAGCATCTGTCTTCTGTTCTGGGCTGTTCTCAACCACCCTGCTGAGACAAAAACTTTGTTGTTTCACGCTGCACCTGGGAGATAGCTCAAGCAAGCTCACTGTCAGCTCTCTGGAACCCTTTTCTTGGTACAGCTCAAATACCCGATGTAAGCTCACTCTAGACCAAAGCAAATTATGTTTGCTGGCCTGCTGCCAGACCCCAAGTTTTTGCAAATACACTGCAATCTATTCCTTACTAAGTCCAGTTACTGCCATTTTTCAGATGAGAAAACTCAGAGAGTTGAAATAATTGGTCCAAGGTCACACATTGACCTGGATTAAAGTCCATCTCTGTCTGATTCTGGAGCCCAGCTCTTCTCCAGTTGTATGTGCTACCCATTTCCTCTACTTTGAACAGGATGTAAAATGGCAGGAAGACAGATTGAGACCCACACAGTCAGCAAGGGGGAAACAGATGGTAGATGTCTGCTTGCTGTCAGCTGAGCATGAGTTACCAGTGCAGGACCACCTAGAGAACCAATGTAAACTTAGATCATATTAATAGAAGTAGGGCATCTACTACAAGGGAGAAGGTTGTTGTCTTGTTCTCAGTGTGAGCAGATGGTACCTGGAGACAGTGTGTGTGTATGATTGGGGAAAGGGTATAAGTCCTGCTGCAAGGATATGGACACACAGAAGACTGAATCCCTGTGGCTGAAAGCATTCCACAGAGGCTGCTGTGGAATGTTGGATGGTATGTTGGATGGTAGAGGGCTCGGGCAAGGTGACCACTACGGTCCTTTCAAAGCGCAGTTTTATGGTTGTATTGCAGCTGTTTTTAGCACCACCCTGACATTCAGGCCCATCAGATTTACCCCTTTTCTATCATTCTTAGTAAGTGTTCCTCTAGGAGATGGGGTTCATTCATTCGTCATCCATCCGCCCATCCGTCCACCCATCCATCCACCCACCCATCCGTCCATCCATCCATCCATCCATCCATCCATTCATCCATCCACCCACCCATCCACCCACCCGTCCATCCATCCATCCATCCATCCATCCATCCATCCATCCATCCATCCATCCATCCATCCATCATGTACAGCACTAGCACAGGGACTGAGAGAGAGATAAACCTTCCGAGCCTGGAACTTCCAGTCCAGTGGAGATGATAGTAGCAGTGACAGTGAGCAGAGCTTGAGCACTGACTGTCCGTCAGGTACTTTAAGTGAATCATTCTTTAAGTGAACAACCCTATGAGTCCAATATTATTATTATCTCCATTTTGCTGATGGACAAATGGAGGGTCTGTGGGGAACAGGGTGGACAGGTCACCCTGAGGAGTCATTGGTCAGGTATCTCTGGGCCTGTGTTGAACTCCAAGCCCCAGGACACTTAGCAGTGGTGACATAATTGCCCAGAGCCTGTGTTATAAAAGGTGGTGCAGGGGAGGGGCCCAGTCACCAGTGAGAGCGCTGAGGACTTCCTCCCTCCTCCTCAAGCCTGACCTTTAACGTTAGGCTTTAGCAAGACCTTGGTGTGGTTCCCAGAGCTCCTCCTCACCATGGCCCCCTAAGGTAATGGTCAGTACTATCCTCATGTACAGGCAGAGAAACGGAGGCACAGAGAGGTCAGGAGCTTGCTCAAGTTCATGCAGCTGGGCAGAGGAAGGAGGACGATGAGCTTGGGCTGTCCGTCTGTGTGGGCCAACTTACATCCGGGGCCCGATGGCGGCAGGGAGGGGCCGGTGGTGGATGGCGCAGCCCCGCTGACTGACCCTCTGCTCTGCCCCAGATCATGAGTGTGCTGCTGCTCATCGAGCACTCAGTGGAGGTGGCCCACGGCAAGACTTCCTGCAGGTTCTCCAAGACGGGCTACCTCAGGATTGGTAGGTCCAGGGGACACCAGAGTGGGCTGGGGAGGAGAGGGCGCTGGCCAGGGGGGGAGACAGTTGGGTTTTGAGTCTTCATTAAGTTCCCTCTTTGAGCCTCAGATCTTTCATCCATGCATGAGGAGATTCCACCTGTCTTCACCTGAGGCTCCCACTGAGGTGCTGGGAGCAGAGGGATGGTGCTTTGTCGACCCAACCAGCGTAGATGGGTGACGGCTGGACTCCCCAGCTCACACCATCATGGATGCCCACCACACTGGGTTAAATCACACTCCTCACCATGGACACTGCCCCTGCTGACCTCTCCGGCCACATCCCTGCTTCCCCTGGCTGCCCCAGTGGCTCTGCCCACACTAAGCTTAGCCTATCTCAGGGGCCCTGCCAGGACTTCTGGTCACTCATCCTAGCCACCCCTCAGAGGCCTTCCTGTACCTCACCCTGGCCAAAGTGCCCTGCCCCCATGCCCCCAATATACCTTCCTCTGTTACCTGAAACGTCCTGTTTGTTGTCTTTGTAGCCCTTCAAGACTGAGAACAGCAGGAGGGCAGGGGCTGGGTATTTTGTTCACCATCATTACCCCCGCACTGGTGGCTCCCAAAGTGTGGTCCTCAGAGCCCAAGTGGGGGTCTCCAGGAATAGCCCTGGGGTCTTCACCCTCTCTCTCCTTTGACATTTCAGCTGACCTGCTCTCCAGCTTCCTGCTCATCACCATGCTCTTTGTCATCAGCTTGAGCCTGCTGGTTGGGGTGGTCAAGGTAAGGGCCTGCTGGGTGTGGGATGGAGAGCCTGGACCTGGGAGTGGGCAGGAGCCCCAGCTGCCAGCCTGTCCAAAATACCTCCTCACTAGGGAGGTATTTTGGGGGATCTGTAGAGATCTTTACATGTGTTCTTTGGAAGGCTTGTTTCTGTACCCAACTTCTATATATTTTTTTATTGAATATATTTTTTGTATATATATTTATTGTGTATATTTATTGTGTATATTTATTTTGTATATATTATATATTTTATTATATTGTTTTATTCTATATATATTTTTATATTTTTTAACATTAGTTTACAACAGTGCATGTGATTTAGAGGTAGATACTGCACCCACCTTCTCGGGCTGGCATCTTTGTTCCTTTATACACTACACCCTGCCAGGGCAAGCACAGCCAGATGTCTGCTGGTCACCGCTGAGATGAGCTGGTGACCTGCAAGAGAAAGCAGGAATTTTAACAGAGAGAAGAGGAAGAGTAGTTTTGAGGCATGGGGAGAGGAGAAAGCAGCAGGTTTGTGATGGGCAAGAGGTGCCCAAATAGGGGGTGAGCGCAGACAATGCCAGCTCACCTCCCTCCAGTGAGCAGATGAGAGAGGAGACAGGGAGCAGCTCAGCTTCTTGCAAAGAAGAAACTGCCTTGGCCCCCCTGGGGGGCAGGTAGTCAGGGCCTCACCACACCACCACAGGAGCAGGACCCAGAAATTTGGTCCTCTGGGCAGATGGGGCCTGGCACTCACAGGGCTAGCAGAGTAGGACCACGGTGGGTGCTGGCTTGGTGTGTCTGCAGTGCCGGAGACACCACCCTCCCTCAAGCCGGGAGTGATTTCCTCTTGTGCCGCTGTGCCCTGTGCTTGTACAGAGACAAAAGCGGCCCAGCTGGTAGTCTGGCTGGGTCATCCCCGAGGGCTCTGAGTCAGTTTGGGTGGTTCCCATGACCTCCTGAGTGATTTTAGACAACCACATGAGAAACCACGAAACTACCCTTTCTGTAATTTTGTCCCCACCGGGGGGCTCATACGTTGATACTGGTCCTAGTGGTCACTTGCTCTCATTGAAAGAGGGAGACTTCAGCCCTAGTGTCCCAGGGCCTCTGACCAAGACTGAACACCCCGAGGTGCCCACATGGAGGAATCTCAGTAGAGCAGGGTTTTCCTCACCCTGGGCCTTTGATGGTGCCAGCCCTTCTACCTCCAGTACCCTCTCCCTTTCCCTCCTGCTTCTTTGCAGATCTACCCTGGTGCTCCCCCCCTCCAGGAAGTCCCCCCGATTTCCTTTTCTCTGTACAATGGATACAAAGCTTTCAGGTCCTGCTCCTGGAGCCCCTGGAGCACTTTTCTCCACCTAGCTCTCTTGCCTGTGTCTCCTCGGCACCAAGACTCCTGGCTCCCAGAGCCTGGGTCTTACTTTCTTCCGCCCCCAGAGCAGCCTTCGAGGAAGGCATGTGGATCCACATGGGTGACCTCAGCCCAGCCAGGCAGAGAGGATTTGGAAGGGAAGAGGGGGGCTGGTGAGGGGGTGCCTGGAGACACCAGATGGCATGGGGGAACTTCAGATGCGTGCAAGGGACCCCTGAGAGTGATGGGCCTGCCTTTCAGAACAAGGAGAAGTACCTGCTGCCCTTCCTGTCCCTGCAAATCATGGACTACCTCCTGTGCCTGCTCACCCTGCTGGGCGCCTACATCGAGCTGCCTGCCTACTTCAAGTTCGCCTCCCAGAGCAGCCGACCTGTGAGTCTGCCAGCCCAGCCTGGGGGGTGGGCAGGGCCCAGCCTGGGAAGAGTGGGAGCCCCCAAAGCCTCTTCTTAGCTGGGTGGGTTTAAGAAAGTCCCTTCAAATTCCATTGCCTTCAAATCATGCCGAGATTCTTCCTTCTATGTCTGTGGCCACGTCTCACTGTCTTGCGAGAACACACGTAGGGTCTCAGCAGGGGCCTGGTAAACAGCAGCTCGGGGAGGGCACAGGCCCAGTTTCAGTCCCTGCCCCTGAGAGAGAGGTGGAGGGGAGCACCCCCTGTGGGAAGGCCGTGCGGCTGTGCAAACCGAGCGTGCTTCCCCAGACGTTGCTTCTCTGACCTCTGCCCTAGAAAGATGGAGGAGATAAATTGCAGAAGGGCTCCGGGCTGGGAGTCAGCAGACCTGGCTCTGGTCCCCGGCCTGCCACCTCCCCTTAGTGCGAACATAGGGTGACTGCTTCTCCCTGGGCACAGTGGACTAGGGAGCTGCTGGCATCTGTGACTGAGACGGTCTCTTAAACTGAGGACCCACTGTGTGCCTCACTGTAATGGGGCTTCTCCGTTGGGCCTTAATTTCTGTCTGTCTTCCTGGTCCTAAGGGCCCCTCCAAGGTCCCACTGATGACCCTGCAGTTGTTGGACTTCTGCCTGAGCATCTTGACCCTCTGCAGCTCCTACATGGAAGTGCCCACCTATCTCAGCTTCAAGTCTATGAACCACATGGTGAGTCTGGGCCAAGGGTCTGCCCCTGCCCCTGGCTGTGTAGCCTTGAGCAGGTTCCGCTCGCTGTGCCTCAGTGCTTTAGGCTGGGTTCCCTAGAAGTGTGCAAATGATAAGAGAGCTCCCAGGTTGGAAGTTTGGAAGGAGTGAGGGAAGCAGGTTAGACGAAGGAGGAAGTCAGACTCCAGGAGCTGAGTTGCCTGATCCCAGCGGGAGCCTGGCGTGTGAATAGCACTGCAGAAATACTACTAGGGTTTTATTGCTATTTAACCAATTATCCCCAAACACAGTGACTTAAAACAATAGCATTTGTTATCTTGCACAGCTTCTGAAGATCAGTGTAGTGGCAGGAATGGCCACAGTGCAGGATTTCTAATGCAGCAGACCGGGGTAAAGGAGTAGAGGAGAGTCCTGGAGCCCTTGGTGGCTTTGCAGGCTTTTATTGGGATTTACCGGGTACATGGCAGGTAGGGGTGGGGGGCGCTGGGTGGCTGGCAGGGCTCCCAGCCCCCAGCAAGTCTTCACTCTGGGCTCTCCGGCCTTCTCTCACGTTCTCTCTGCTCTTCTCATGGCTCTGCTTCTCTCTTGGCTTTTCTGCTCCTCTGCTTCTTTCTCAGCTTCTGCTGGCATCCCCGCGATGCTGCCCCTAAAAGCCCAGTCTCAGCTCAGGTGAATCTCATCTACCTATGCCCACACCCTACCCCAGGTGCCCCCCATCAGGCATGCATTCGGGACCACAGGGTTCCGTCATCTATCCTGATGGCGGGAGGGCAGAAAAGCCTGATACTTTTTACCTTACCCTATAATCAGGAACCCAGCTGGGTCTCCTTTAAGGTTGGGGTTGGGGCTGCCAGCTTGGAGGGCTTCGTGGGTCTGGAGATCCACTTCTAAGGCGCCCTCTCGCATGGTTGCCAGCGCTTTGCTTTAATTCCTCCTGTGTGGGTCAATAAGGCTGCTTGAGCTTTCTCCTGTCATGGCTGATGGATTCCTCCAGTGAGGAACCCAGAGAGATAGAGAAAGAGAGAGAGAGAGAGAGAGAGAGAGAGAGAGAGAGAGAGAGCAGCTACCATGTCTTTTAAAACTTGTCTCTGCCATATTCTATTGTTTGTGAGAACTGAATCCCTGTCTGCCCACATTTGAGGGGGGAGGCATGGGCACCACATTTTGAAGGGAGGGCTGTCAAAGAATGAGTGCACGTATTTGCAAGTAGCACAGAATTGTCCCACTGGAGCAGCAACCTCCCATCAGTCAGCTGCTGCTTGTGAGTGGCGTGTAGGGGAGGGGTTATACCTCCTCCCAGGTATTTCAGGGTTAGGTGGTTCCTATCAGCTCACACCGTATTCCGGAGACAGGTGCAGATAGTGTCCACCATCAGCTGGGGGTTGGGTGATGTCCAGGTAAGTGTGACCTATACCACATCGGCCTCCCTGGGTTTGCTCCCGTTTCATGGCTGATGGCAGCCCTTGCCTGTTATGGCTCTTACAGCCATCAGTCAAGAGCGACCAGGCCACTCGGTGTGAGGATGGCCGCGTGGTGCTCCTGCCTGGTGTGGAGAGCTGGCTTGTCAATGTGTGGGTGCTGTTAGAGTTCTTTATGCTAGAGCACTGATGTGAGCCCCAAATCTGTTGCAGAATTACTTCCCTAGCCAGGAGGGCTTGAGTCATAGCCAGTTCATTAAGATGATGATCATCTTCTCCATCGCCTTCTTCATGGTCCTCATCCTGAAGGTAAGAAGCCCCATCCCGTGGCTCTGGGATATGGGAAGTGTGCTACCCCAGGCCCACCCAGGCCAGACAGTCAGGTCAGTGTGTCTCCTTTTAGCTCATTGTCCAACCACACTGGCTTCTCTGACTACACTTGGTATCCTTGGGGACACCCCATTTAGAGGGAATGGATCTGCAAAGACCACCTGTATTCAGGTGTCTGGGACTTACTATATAACCCAGAAATCCAGGGGCAGGGGCCACTCTGGGTGGAAGTAGATCCAGAAGGATCTGGGCTTGAACCCCAGCTTTCTTTCATTGACTGTGTGACTGGTCTTCAAGTCATTTCTCTCTGGATCGTGGGACTCTTTTGTGAAAGGGATATGATAAATCCCACTTTGCCCATGTCACAGGTTCATGTGATTTAGGCACCAAAATGTTGATGGGGCCTAAGGTCATATTACCAGAGGTTTGGTGTTAGGAAGGAGGGAGGGGAATGGTTTTATTCTTCTCTGATCCAGAGGATAGAGTCTGATTTTAGGTCCCAATTCTTAGACAGACGGTAACAGGCTGGAGTGTGCTGATAATAGCACAACAAGGAGGGTGATGAGGCAAGAAAACTTTGCTGTCTGAGGGAGTCAAGGCAACTAAGGGTATTCAGCTTAGAAAAGAGATGATTCAAGGGAATACAGTCACTGTCTCCTAGTAGCCAAAGGACTTTCACAGGAAATTTTGTGAGATTTTAGAGGCCATACTGTGGCTTGTGACCTACAACCATAGGAGGCTGATGTTGACTCAACAGCAGCAAAGCCTCTTGAAAAGCATTCTTTTCTGATTGTGGAAGTAAGGTCTCATCATTGTCGATGTTTAGAAACTACAGATGAGCAGAAAGAAGTCAACCAGCCCACCAGCCACTACCACTCAGAGACCTGCCCTGTGATGTCGGGTGTTTTACCCTTTAGTCTTTTTATGCTGGTGGGTGGGACCAGACCTCTTTCTGTCAGAGGCCCTGAGGAGTCCCTGCTCTCACCTAATGCCAACCTGGGAACAGCTTCACTCCTTTGAATCTCCCACAAGAAACTGACCTAGTGTCAGTGCATTTGTGATGTGCAAAAAGAACATTCTTGAAGCCTTGGGGGAAGCCAATGAGGGGTTTTCCATCACATACTCTTCTAGAGAACAACTTCCTGAACCCCAACACACAACTCTGCCTCCCTAGGCCTCTTCCTATTTCCTATCTTCCTTGGGTTGGGGGTATCGCTCTCTACCCTTCACTGCTTCCCTGGACACTCTCCACCTATTTGATTTCCGTGGGCCTTCACTCTTTTACTTTATACTTCACACTTTTATTATTCATTATTTCTGCCCCAACTGAGTTCCATCCTGGGATTCCATAAAGCAAGAGCTCTTCCAATGAGAGGTACTGCTCTCCTTCCTTAGGAGGCCATTTGGGGCCAGAGAGAGAACCTCTGGCTAACATCCCTTGAACGTGCCCTGGGGACTGCACTGCCTGCTCTGGGAATCTCCCCAATTCTTACGTCAACTATTAAGACAAAGCAACTGCTACATCAACATATATCTGTATATGTAATTTTTCCATGTTTATAAACATGGGGTAATACCAAGCACACTGTTTTGTAATCTGCTTTTAAAAACAACCTGTCACAGGCAATTTTGAAAGAGATCTTTCCCACTGTCAGCTCTGTTTGAAGATGGGAGGGGTCATCTCAGGAAGGTCCCAGTTCTTGAGGGCAGGATCCACAGGCCTATTGGCAGGGAGCACAGGGGAGTGGCCAGGAACCCTGGAAAGCCCCTGAGTCTTTTGGTACTGAAAAGGGCAGTGCATGGAATACCTGGGCCTGGCAGGTGAGGCACCCCTAATTAGAATAAGGATCTGAACAGTAGCACTTAAATGGTGTCTTCTGCATGAACTGGGGTGACCCAGGAAGTACCTGGCATCAGTCCCAAGCCTCAGGGGCATTGGGAACAGGCAATGCAGCTGACCTGGGTCTTTTTTCCAGGTCTACATGTTCAAGTGTGTGTGGAGATGCTACAGACTCATCAAGTTCATGAACGCAGCTGAGGAGAGGGGCACCCCCAAGATGCTCCAGAAGGTGAGCTTGGCTGACACTCACAGTGTTGTTTGAGCAAGTCTCTCTCTCTTGCTGGCCCTCAGTTTCTCCACTTGTAAGATGAGGGTTGGACCAAAAGAAACGTGAAGATTTGTTTCAGCTACTTTAGGATTCTGTTCATGCGTTCATTTATTCATTCATGCTTTCAAGGAAGGCTTCCTGGAGGAGGTGACACTTGACCAAGCCTTAGACTGTCAATTGGTACAAGTTAACTGGGAAAAAGGCAAGGGGCCTTCTATGTTGAGGGATGAGGTGCTCTTAAAAGCAGCTGATTGGAGAAGTGATGGGAGAAATGTAGCTGGTTTAAATCATTTACCTCATCTGTCAAATGAGTCAAGATTTTTTGGGTTGCACATGGCAGAACCCATCTCGATCTGATAAGTGAAAAGGGAATTTATCAGCTCACATAACTCAAAGCCCAGGGTAGGTCTGGCTCAGGCCTGGCGGAGTCCTGACATCAGGACCCAGTCTCATCCTCTGCATCCTCCCTCAGTGTTGGCACCGTTTCCAGGCAGCTCTTCCTTCATTGTCAGCAAAACAGCTGCCAAAATCCCTAATCGACATCCCACCCGTTCAGCAATCCCAGCAAAACAAAGTCCCAGGAACATATCTGATTGGACCAGCTTGCATCTTAAGTCTATTCTGAAGCCAGTGGCCTTGGCCAGGTGGTGGAATTCTGCTTGGAATGGCCACACCCAAGTCACAGGTCCACTTCCTGGATCTGAGGGACAGAACTAATTCTTCCAAAAGTGAGGACTGAGAATGTTCTCCCAGGGGAAATTGCCCTGCACAGTCATCACAGTTATCAAAACAGGGTTGACACTGAACCGGCAGAGGCCAGCCTGCCCACTGCGGGGACAGAAACCACAGCTGTCTGAGGTAGCACAGAGCAGGTACCCAGTGTGTTAGCCTCACGACATCTTTCTGCCAGAGGTGAGGGTCGGAGCCCCTTGACCCTAGGTTGGGATCATCTTTTTTGGCAATCCTCAGCCCTCCTTTCTCTATCCCTCCCAGGTGCTCCTGCCATCCTATGAGGAAGCCCTGTCTCTGCCATACAAGACTCCAGAGGGGGGCCTGGCACCGCCCCCATACTCAGAAGTGTGACGCTCCAGGCACCAGCTCTGGTGCTGGGAGGGGAGGGGTGGAGGCACCTCCCAGTCCGCTTCTTTGCTTTGGGGGCCCCTCTGGCCTGGATGGACCACCCAGCTGACTTCAGGACAATCTGCTGTGCCCCTCGCTGGCCTGCTTCTCCTGCGGGGCCTGGGAGATGCTCATAACTGGGTCAACCCTGTAGGCTGAATGACTCCTTGGGTCTCCCCTAAATTTATCAAAAACACTTATCTTGTTTTGATAAGCTCTAACATTTGTTGAGACAATCGGTCCTTCTAAATTTGATGAGTCTAGTTGACCAGTTTAACCAAGTGACAGACAAATCAAAAACGAACTTGCCAGTTCAATTTGGCCAACGAAGAGCAGCCCCTCACACTGGTTTGCAAATAGTCATTTAACACAACCATTTGGCCAGCGATTGCCATGGCTCCGCCCCGGCGGCCCATCCGTCTGATTTCCTCGCAGAGCTTGCTCCAACAACGACCAAGATGGCCAACCCGAGGTCAATTTAGATAGTGATAAAATTCAATCATAGAAAAAATCAAATCAGCTTCCAAACCCTCCAATTCAATCTAATCCAATAACCGACTGCTCCTCTGATCAGCTCGGTCCTTCTGAGAGGCTGAATAATTGTTAATTTAAAAGAAAATGTCAGACAGTTGCCAAGCCACCCCTCACTGGCTGGTTCCCATCGGGGGCTTCCATGATCCAATAGTCCCTTCCAACATGCACTGTGCTGCTGAAGCGCTGCCGCCATCGACTCCCGTGGGCCCTGCAGTCATTCAGCGGGGGGCCTGGAAGCAGGGTCTCTGAGTCCATCTCCAATTTGTTCTTAGGCAACTCTGTCTGCCCGAGGCTTATGTTCAAGGAGAAGTTCAGCCCTGAGATCAGACAGATCCCTTCATTGGGCTAATCCACAGCTTAGCTCAGCCACGACAGGCCAGCCTCTAATGGGTGCAGACCCTGCGTCTGGGCTCGGGTTGGAGGTGGAGAAGGGAAGGCTCCGTCACCTCCTCTTTTATGCACTTCCCTGCGGCTGGGCTCCCGAGGGAACTGACCCAGTGGCAGAGACAGGGCCGACGTGGGGGGGCAGGTTCTTCAGGGTCTGTGAAGGGAGATGGGGGAGAGGGCTGGACTAGAGGGTCCCTGCCAACACCCCCTTCTGTACTTGCTTTGTGCGTGATGGGAAAGACATTTTAATAAAGCAGCAACACGCTTCTCTCCAGCTGGTGTGGTTCTTAAAATACGGTGTAGGTAGTGCTGAGCACCATCCTATCTCCACCACCTCGCAGGGCTGCACACACACACACATTGCCCCCCCACAACACATACACCCCCACCCCACATACACATACCCCCCCGCACACATACCACACACACACACCATATACACACATACCACACACCACACACAAACCACACACACACATCATATATCACACACACACTGTCCTCCCCCTCTACAACCCAATTATACCACATACACCCCCACTTCACATTCACATACCACATGTACCCCATATACACACACCACACACTACACATACACACCACACACACCACATACCTTGCACCACATACACCCCAAGAATATATCCCCCCCTACATCACACACATACATCACACACATACATCACACACATATGCACCATATGTTGAGTCCAGGAACTCAAGGAGCCACATCCAGCTGTGGGTGTCATGACCTGACTGTTCTGATAGTGAATCATGGCACCTAAGCCCCCTGAGGGTCCGCAGAGAAGGAGTGAACTCCACCCACCTGGAGCCAGGTCCAGCGCTGGGCACCGGGGAGATGGCGTCGGGTCAGACTTGCCTCTAGTCACCCAGGGCCTGGGGTGGTAACACTAGCCCAGGCCAACACGGGGACAGTCTGCAGGACCTCAGGCAGGCTCGGAAGACTTCCTGGAGGAGGGACACTGGGTCGAGGCTGAAGGATGGGTGGGCAGCGGTAAGCCACAGGGCACTGCAGTTCTAGGCAATGCAGCAGCAAAGGGAAGGCTCCTGGAGGTCAGGGAGAGTTGCTGGGGTGGGTGGCTTGGTGAGGCTGGCCAGGTTTGGGCGTGGATCGTGGTGAGTCTTAAATGCCTTGTTTTGGGCATTTACAGGAAGGAAATGGTTGCAAGTAACAGAAACCTTAGTAAACCATGTTTATTCAAATAGAAAACAAACGGTCATCATGATGTTCTTGACTGACATAAATGATAAGTTGAGGTGTTTCTGTCTCCAGCCTTGGCCTAGGAATTGAAGTCCTCAGTAACTTTCTCTTTTTCTCCCTCTCTCGCCTGTTCCCCCTGTGGTTGCTGAGCCACCCAGGGGTGCGCCAGGGCAAAGCCAACAGAAAGCCTGGCAACTGGAGGGCTTCTGTCCATGGGGAACTGTCAGGGCCTCAAGTGTCTTGTTGAGAAGCATGACTGCCCCGGGGCGGAGTGTGTGAGGAGACTGGGCGGGGGCGTTACAGATTAGCTTGGGGTTTTGGGAAGGGAGGGACCAAAAGCAGGGCCTCACAGGAAGGCAGGTGAAGTTGTCCTGTGGGGAAGCAGAGATGGGCTGGATATAAGGGGTGCTCTCAACTTTCTGGGGTTGCCACTTTTTTGGGGGGAGAGTAGATTTTGTCATGGATTCTGTCTGCCCTTTATCAGGAAGCTGGTAAAATGAGGCTGTCTAGAGACTGACGGCAAGCTCTCACTCACATGTGAGGGAACAGAGGCCCAGAGACATCAAGTAGCTCTCCTGAGGTCACACAGGGGTCAGGGATTGACCCAAGTGTGTTTTCTTCTTCTCCAAGTAGAGGCTGTTGAGGGAACTGGGACCCCAGTCTGTGTGAGTGTTTGCTGCTTCTTTTTTTTTTTTAAGATTTATTTATTTATGCAAGAGCTGGGGTACAGGCCAGAGATGCAGGGGGGTGAGAGGATTCACCAGAGACAGAGCAGGGAACAGAACAGGCAGACTGACTGAAATACACTGCTGAGGGGAGCAGTGGGCGAGACGGGAGAGGTCTGCAGCGCCATGTGGGTTGCTCCCTGGCCGTCCCGGGATTGAACTTGTGCTGCAGAGGCTGCGGACACTTCATAGTGCTGTGCTTAACCCCTTGCACCACCAGGGAGGCACCTGAGTGTTTGCTTCTTATAAGCATCCATGAGAGGTGGTCCCCCAAAGCCCCCACCAGGTGGGGACTGGAGGCAGCAGGCAAGAGAGGAGCGGATTGGCTGTCTCCAGCCTTGCCTCCTTGTCAAGAGGGGACCAAAGGGCCATGCTGTGCATCCTGAGGACCACCCTCCCCCACCCTAGCTCGGCCCATCGAGACGAGAACAGGCTGAGCTGTATAGTGGGATTGTGCCCTGTGGCCAGGCGTCTGGGAGGGCCAGCGCGAAGAACAGGAAATAGCTGGGTTTGGGGAAGTCGCATGGCCGGGGTCAGCCAAGCCAGCTCGAGATCGGTGGGCAGCTGTCACCAGGGCCCTATCAATGCCCCGTTTGAGGCTCATACAGGGGTCTTTTGACAGGGCTGGGCGGTTTGGACCCACTGAGAGGGCTGTTTACCTAGATGCCTGGAAAGGAGCTGGCCCCAGGAAAGAGGCGGTTGTCACAGGGTGGGCAGGTGAGGGCCTTGGGCTGGGCGTCTCCTGGAGAGAAGGAGAATAGGCAGAAGGGTGCCCTGGGAGGGCCTCAGTGTCTCAGGCTGGGATGGAGGCAGGAGTGGTCCATGGGCCTGCATGGGCCCTTTAGTGCTTTTTCTCTGGGGCTCCCCACCCGCCCATGTGGCAGGTGCTGGGTGGTGATGATTCCTGAGGTCCAGGGAAGGGCCTCCCAGTTACACCTTGGTTGAGGGGCAGAGCTGGGGTTTGGCTTCAGTGGGCCTGACTGAGCCTGAGTGTGTCTGCTGGCCCTGTCTGGCCCACCTCATCCCCCCATGAGCCCCTCAGTTTACTTGAGATCAGTCTCTGAGCTCTCTCTGGAGGCTCTGGGGACAGGGGGAAGCTTCTGGGTGTTACGGGCCACTGGAGCTGGTCAGAGATGGCACCTGCTAGACCCCATTATTCCAAGTGCAGCCTCCTGCTGGTTTTGCGCACCCCCCCACCCCCCACCAGGGATCACCTCCCTTTCAAAGTCAAAGATATCTTCTGGCCTTGGATATCTCCAGCAATTACCTGTACTCCCCTTGTTGAACCGAGGTCTTTAAAAAAAAAAATAGGCTCTTGCCTTCTGGTCTTAACTCCTGACTTCCAAAGAGTCCAAAGGGAACACCTACCCCTGGGCCCCATGGAAGCCTCCTGAGGGTGAGAATGTGGCATCCTAAGCCTGAGCCTGCTCCTACACAGAACACCCTCTCTGTCCTACTTGTGCCCCCAAGGTCTTCAGTTTTTAGTGATGTGAGATTTTAGGAACTGCATCAGGGTCTTCATATATTCATATGTCCATTCACTTATTGCAGAGTATTCCCAGAGGCCCACCCTGATCAGCCTCCTGGGTCTGGGCATGCCAGGACATGAGGATGAACACGGCTCTGTCTGTACCTGTCGTCTTGGGACTCCAGTCTGGCAAAGGAAAGAGACAGGAGCAATTGCAATCCAGAAAGAAAGTAATCACAGCCAGATGGGGGAGTTGGGGGAGTGGAGGGACGGGAGTCCAGGTGCGGATGCTGTTGCATCCCAGCTGCAGAGGCAGGGCAGACATCCTGGAAGAGGAGATTCCTGAGTTGAATGGGAGTAAGTGGATGAAGGAGGAGAAGCACTTGGAATTCCAGGGAGGAGGGTGGGAGGCCTGAAGGAGCCTGGAGATAGAATAGAAGGGGCAGCAGTGATGGTATAGAAAGTGGAGAGGCAGGTGGGGAACAGGACCCTCAGGGTTTGGATGTAGGTATGAGGAAGGGGGAATGTCAAGGTTGGTTCCCAGGTTTGGGTTTAGTATCTAGTCCTTCCCATGATGACCCTGAAAATAAGGCATTTCCTTGTTAACCACCTGCCTCTCTCCTTGTGGTGTCCTATACTCACATAAGCCCCTGAGGGAGGTGGCATTCAGATGACCTCCAATGACCTCCAACCTTGTATAATTCTCCACCCTTGGGAGTGAGTGGAGTCTGTGAATCTGATGGGATAGTCCCCACTGTGGTTGGGTTATGTTACACAATGCAGTTGATTTTAAGAAAAGGAAATTGTCTTAGATTAGCCTGACCTAATCAGATGGTCTCTGGGATTTCCTGAGAAGGGGCACTTGGCCTGAAAGATATTTGAAGCAGAGAGGGCCTGGGAGGGGGCCATGTGACAAGGGTCTGCCTCTAGGAGCTGAGAGTGGCTCTTGGCTGAAGCCAGCAAGAGGATGGTGGTTGGGTGGGGAGTTTGTGTACAACAACCACAAGCAACTGAATTCTGCCCACCACCAAGTAAGCCTGAAAGAGGATTCTGAGTTCCAGGAAGGAACACAGTTCAGCTGCTGCCTCAGTTTCAGCCTCAATTTCACTGACCAGAGAACCTGGGTTAGTGGTGCCCAGACTTCTGACTTACAGAAACTCTGAGGTTATACAGTTGCACTATTTTAAGCTACTAAGTTTGTGATAATTTGTCACATAGCAACTGAAAATGAATACATGACCCCTTCCCAATTCGGAGGAAGTTTTTATTTTTCCTCCCTTAAACTGCTATGTGGCAACAACATGTCAGGTCTTAGTGTATCCCCTGAGTTTTGGAACTGAAAGATGAAATACCAGCTGACCACTCTTTCCATATCTTCATGTGCTCTCCTCATGACCTCAGAGGTTTTGTTTCCCCCAGAGGCTGAGGGGAAAACAGAGCCTATAAGGGGAAGAGACAAATTGAAGTGTCACTGGGAGCTGGCACCAGGTTGAGGAAGGGGGTGAATCCACATGTTGTAGAGGATAATTGTGGCAAACAAGGATGTTTTCACGAGAGAAGAATCAACTCAGTGGGGGCATGACCATGGTCTTCATGTCACTGAACATGGTACACCAGGTTAGCTCACTTTGAGAGCTGGATGGAAAACTTGGGGAGACCATGAGCTCCCACTGCAGGAGGTATTCTTCATAAGCTGGACAAAAGCTTTCCAGAGGCAGAGAATTTATGTTTCATGTGGGAGTTTGGATAAGATCGGTGCTTTAGCTCCCTCAGAACCATCTGGAGGGCTTAGAAAAAACAGATTCACTGAGTTTGGGATAGTGCCTGGGAGTTTGTATTTTTCTTTGGAAAAA